AAAAAAAAAAAAAAAGATTGCTTTGGCTTTCAGGGTCTTTTCTGGTTCCAAATGAAACATAGAATTATTTTTTCTAGATCTGTGAGGTATGACTTTGGTAATTTGATGGGATTGTATTGAATTTGCAAATCACTTCGGGTAGCATGAACATTTTAATAATGTTGATTCCATTCATAAGTATGATGTTTTTCCATTTGTTTGTATCCTCTGTGCTTATCAATCCTTTTAGGAAGATTTACACATATACAAACATTTTATACAAAAGGTACATATCTTTTACTATTGGTCCCCAAAGTGAGTTTACTCTGCTTTACTTTTGTTTACTGTACTGTTTTTAAATTTGTTTTTTTTTTCTGAGACAGGGTCTCACTATGTTGCCTCAGGCTCAATCTCTTGGGCTTGACATCCTCCTGTTTCTGCTTCTCAAGTAGCTGGGACTACAGGCGCCTGTCCCAACACCTGGCTATTTTTTTGTTGTAGTTGTTTAGTTGGCCAGGGCCAGGTTTGAACCTGCTACCCTCAGTGTATGTGGCTGGCGCCATAACCACTATGCTATGGGCACCGAGCTTTTTGCTCACTTTTTAATAGGATTGTTTGTTTTTTTCTTGGTGATTTGCTTAATTTCTTTGTAAGTTCTGATTTAATGTATAGTTTGCAAATATTTTCACTCATTCTGTAGGTTTGTTTATGTGTTCTGCCCATTGTTTCCTTAGCTGTGCAGAAGCTTTATAGTTTAATCAAATCCCATTTATTAATTTTTGTTATTTGCACAATTGTCATTGGGGTCTTAGCCTAGGCCAAGAAGAAGAGCTTCTTCTTGTAGAAGAGCTTTTCCTACATTTTTCTCTAGAATTCTTAATGGTTTCATGTGTTGTATCTAAGTCTTTTATCCATCTTAAATTAATTTTTGTAAGTGGTGAGAGGAAGAGGTCCTGTTTCATTCTTCTGTATGTGGCTATCTAATTTTCCCAGCAGCATTTATCAAATAGGACTTTTCTCCAGTGCATGTTGTTGTCTGCTTTATCAAAAATCAGTTGGTTGTAGGTTCTGTTACATTGGTCTCTGTCTCTATTTTTGTATCAATACTATGCTGTTTGGTTATTGTAGCCTTGTAGTATGGTTTAAAGTCTAGTAATATACTTCCAAATTTATTCTTTTTTCTTAAGATTGCTTTGACTGGCTCGGCGCCTGTGGCTCAAGTGGCTGAGGCTCCAGCCACATACACCTAAGGTAGCAGGTTCGAATCTAGCCCAGGCCCACCAAACAACAATGACG